GTGTATGACACTATACAAAAGTCTATAATAAGGACCCCCCCCCCCCAAACAAATAAAAAAAACTTATTCTATTCAGGGTCTTGGGGTATATGACACTATACTATAGTCCATAATAAAGAACCCCCCCCAAAAAACACCTGTTCTTATTATGAAGGCCCCTACAGAACCGAGGGCCCCGGTTGCATCCGCGGAGTTGGAGACCTGGGAGCCGGGCACACCGAAGAGGCGCGCGGGTTTCAGGAGTTGCGGAGTTCGTGGTTCAAGGGGTTTAGGGTTTAGGGTTTAGGGGTTTAGGGTTTAGGGTTTAGGGTTTAGGGTTTAGGGGTTTAGGGTTTAGGGGTTTCGGGTTTAAGGGGTTTAGGGTTCAAGGGTTCGTTGGAGTTTAGGCGGGTCTTAGGATATCGGGCTTTCGGGAGTTGGGGTTGTGGGTTGCATTAGTTTTCATTTTAGGATTTAGGGTGTAGGGCTTCTTTACTAGAGCTTGCAGTGTTGGCGACTGTGGGTTTGCAGTGCAAGACATGTGCGCGGTTGGTAAACACATAGACGTTTTGGTTTCACTGGCTTCTTATGGGTCTGCATGAGCTTTCCGCGCTTTTTAGGTGGAGCTCACTTGGCGCAGCGTAGGCATGCAGATGCTGCATGAACTTCATCAGACGGTTTATTTTTGTTGAGTCTGCGATGCCGTTTCAGCTCGGCCTGTGCTTAGCCCGGATCCGCCGGCGACCAGCGACTCGATGGCGGAAGAGCGGCGCTTCGTCGAACGTGTACGCGCGAAGCTGGCAGACTGGAGCTACCTGGGCAGGGCCTTCTGGGGACTCTGGGGTACCACCAGCAGCTGCCAGATCCTTGGGTTCCATTCGAGAGTCGAGTCTCTTTTTGTTTGTCATTTTTTCATGGTTTCGGTCCTGGTGAGGTGATTAAACGGTGTTTTCGAATCTGAAAAGTCCAAGCTTTTAGTAATTTTGGTAGGACCCAGCCTCGAACAAGGCTTGTCCAGAGGGATGCTTGCAGCTTCATGACCATGAAGAGCATGACGGGAGCAGTGCTTGCCTCTTTCACCAAGAGCCATGCGAAGCTTGTCTTTCGTGGATCAGCCCTACCATGCTTTGCTAGTTTCGACTTTAGATGCTTAGGTTTAAGAGGCTGAGCCAAAGGATTCGGGCTGGTGAGACCAGTGAGAGCTTCCAAGGCCAAGGCAGCACGCCATCAAGAGCAAGGATGCCGCCAGAACAGAGCAAGCACTTTATCACGGACCAGACGAGCGCTGAGGGGGATGTGCTAGTAGCATGATTTCCGGGCCACAGCCGGCGTTTCGCCAGCACTACTCTCTCCCCACAAGCTTTGCGCCTGTCCATCATCTCATCGGCAGGCGTATATAATCCCAAGCATAGCAACTGATTATCGGCCGATGTAACAATGTAAGGCTCACCAACACCCGCCCCCAGCTTTCAACCTTTGGTAAGGACAGCGACAGCCCGACAAAGTTTCACAGTTTTCTCTTGGTTGAACTAAGTTTAGTACTGTACGTGTGTGTGTGTGTGTGCGTTTGCGATTCGTTCTGTGATGATTACGGTCAGTATGACTTGTACCGGTTATCAGTGTTGCGGTTGGTGTTGGCATGGTTATGACTAGGTTCCAGTGATCATCCCGGAGAGGATCCAATGCGTGCGCACCTGCGGCATCTAATGTTGTGTTGCAGTCCTAGCGAGGATCAAGGGCAATCCTGCCACAACCTATCCTCCGGAGCTAAGAAGTATGTTCTCTAAGCATGTTGAGGAGTTGAAGCTATAATGCGATAGTCAGACAGAAATATCTGGGTCCCGGGCTCATCGAGCGTGCTTCGGACTTTGGTCAAATGCCCACGCAGCTAACGGTGGCGCCATGGATCCTGCGGGGAAGGGACAGCCTGGAAGGCGTTGTTCTGTGAGGAGTCGCTATGTTCCCTTGATGCCCACGAGTTCGTTCTACTCGTGCTTGTATAGGTAAAGCTTTGCAATGATGGTGTATGGAGTGTATGGACACTTTGGTCTTTGCGCCTCACTTGGATGCCCCTTGAGTGCAGTACAGACTAATGCGCCACGTGACCAGATCGAGCCCAGTGACCAAATCAGCAGCTGGCGTCCGCGAAAAAGCCGCATGTAAAGTCGAGTGCTGCGACGTCTGGGGTTTGTCAGGTCACCCATTGTGTACGCAGTCGCCACTGCTCCTGCCACAGGACTCTCCTCGCTTACGCGAGACACAAGCCTGAACCATGGAGTCGCCCATCAGCTCTCATTTGCATATCAGCTGGTCTTGAACCCCAACATCCTTAACCCTACTACTTTCCTAGCCTACAAAAACTTTAACACCTAAAAAATCTTAAGAAGCCTCAAAGCCTAAAGCCCGAAAGCCCTTAGACCCGAAGCTGCATTCCCCTGCTTGCTGGAGGCCTCCGGATCCGTGGTGGGTGCTTGCGCTGGCGAGTCCACTCCTTGCTGCAGGCCGGGCGTTTTAAAGCCGAAGCCTGATCTCAGCAACGCTGGACACTTTCCTACTCAGATTTTCTGCGGTGCTCTGCATACATGTAATATACAGAAACACATGGATACATACATGCATACACCCATACATATACATACACACACACAGTAGAAATAGACATATACACACATACATACATGCATATATACATACCTACAGACAGATGCATGAGCATGTACGTACGTAGAGCCGTTGGAACTTCTGGCTCGTGGAAACCATCCGTTTCTATCCAGGTTCATTAAGTCCAAACCCCATGTGCACATCGAAGATGCGCCTTGGGGTGGGGATGACTACACGAGTGAGGTCGGGAGCTAGGGGGTGAAGCGGGTCGCGGTCTGCATTGCAAGCTAGTATCATGTGAGCTATTTCCGGTTCATGAAGAGCTTGTCGGAAGGCGACTGAAAGCTTCTGTTGTGACTACAGCAACCGTGGAAAGACGTAGCCAGAATCGATACTTCATTCTCGTGTGCTACTTCGTGTATGTTTAATAGCCAATACACATGCTAATCTGTTTGTTCACCTAGCTAGCCGTCTATCATTGTAATTGTTTATCTTTTTATTATGTATCAATCTACGTATCCGTCTATATATCTGCTCTCTCTCTCTCTCTCTGTCTTGCTTCATTGTACGCGTATCCTTCAGCTTGTATCCCTGAAGGCATCCTATTCTACGTCAGCTTGGATAGGTGTCACAGACCTCCCCCTCCCGGGCTTCCTCACCCAACCCCCCAACATTGTTCAATGGCTTCGGCTCCCGAGAAACAGTTGAAACCCGAAAGTTCAATCCACATGCCCACCGGATGCACGCCGACAGGCTGCTGGCTTGGTCGGCTCATCCGCCGATCTGGGCAAGATCTCCGTGAGCCACTTCTGGGCTCTGAGGCAATGAAATCTGGAAGACTGACAAAATCAAATGCGCATCAGAAGCCATGCATCCTGAAGCAGCCACGCAGAGAGATGAAGAAAGCAATAGAGAGAGAGATAGAGCTACATACTTACATACATACATACATACATACATACATACATACATACATACATACATAAGAAAATACGTATGCATAGTATAGATGTATGTACTTATATATAATAGATAATTACATAAGAATATAGATCAGTATGTTTGTGTATGTATTTACATATGTCTTTATGCATTTCTGGGTTATAGATGTATATGTATATGTATATGTAAGTGTGGGTACCTATATGCATGTATCATAAACATAGCATTTATTTATTTATTTATGTAATTTATTCTGGTCAAGATAGTAATAATACGAGAATTAACAATCAATTAGACTATAATAGACTATAACCATAGCAACAAAATCACGCAATACAGATGAATGCCTTGCAGGGCATCGGGAATCGCGAAGCTGGCGATCGCCATGCTTCTCGCTGCTGCTGAGAAGAAGTTTCAGATCCGTCTTCACGGCTCGTGGCCGCTTCGGTTTAGTACGCGTAGAGGAATTTCACACGGTTTGATTGCAGAATATCTATGGTGCATTCTTCTTCACTAATTAACACAGCATGAGAGGATCTGGCTTTCTGGTCTTGTTGCATGTGTGTGGGTCGGTCTAGCAGGCATGGTGAGGACAAGTGGGTTTAGTGCTGCTCCCCAGCGCTGGTGCGTTCCTTGGCGCACTAAGCCGCCGCAGCAAAGACTGCAGCAGGGGAGCATCGGAAGTTTCCGAGAAGCATCGAGGAGTTCTGGATGAAAATGGGCATGAGGATGGAGAGTGAATGTTATGCCCTGACCTGGATCGTAGCCGCTGTAGTGTTCTATGAGTGAACTATGGCACCCGGGAGCATTTGGGATGGGATCAAACTTCTAGCCTGAATTCAGGACTGAATCCGTCAAGGTAGGACATTGCACGGAAATACGCATGACATGCATGAGATGTGTAGCTGTCTGAAATTCTGTATCTTTCACGTGTACCCCTTTCACATCGTCGTCCTCACCCTCTTGGCGGCATAGCACATGAATCGATAGAACTGAAATCTTACAAACCCTAAACCCTGCACCCAAAGCCCCCACACCCTAAGTCCCAACCAAACCCCAAGCCCTAAATAAATCTGACATGATGCAAAAGCAGGTGGTATGCTTCCAAAGAAGGGACCTCCTAGTCAACCAGGCTCTCTCTGATCCCTTACCTGGTCCAGGCAGCGATACATTATTTAGGGGTCCTTTTCAGGGGTTATAAGAGTTTATAAGAATTTTCGTACTGCAAGTAATATAGTATATGGGATGTCTTAAAGTTGGGGGGTTACCTTCTCTAGCATCCCTGATGATCGATAGGTATCCTACATAGTATCCGGTCATATACGGTTCAATACTGGGCTCTTTCTATCCCAGAAGCAGAAGGCCATAAGCTCCTCCAGTAAGCCCGGACGACTACTCCTCACATAGTTCCTTAGTAGCTTTGGATTCCTTCTCACGTCGTAGTAGAATATACCTCAAACCCTATCCTCATTGTTCAGATCGCGACGGCGATGGATGTTTTGATCATGGCCGGGGCAGATGTACACCGCGAATGCAGCTCGGATGGGACAAGGTTTTAGGTTCTAGCGTTTAGGGCTTAGGGATGTTTAGGGTGTAGGGTGTAGGGTTGAAAAACTTAGGTAGGAACGTGGTATTTGGGTGAAGGTTGTGGCGTCTACACTCCACAAAAGACAAGTTACAAGTTCTGAGGGGCACTCCTGGAATAGGGATCCTGCAAAGATTAACTACTCAGGAGCAAGAGGAGTTCGTAGTTTAGAGAAGCCTTGACATGTGGAACGTAGACACATCAGGGAGCTTGAGCGCTTCCCCCGCTAAAATCCCTCAACCTTTGTAATGGCTGCGAAGAACTGAGCCAGAGTGGTAAGACCAGGTATGCCGTCAAACTATGGCACTAGTAGCTTGGAGATGCTTGGAGAGTATAGGCCAGGGCCTACCGTGACTACGAAGAAGCAAACTGAGAGCTTGTGGTGCTGGCGACAGCTTCTATGGCACTATGGGACTGTCAGATCTCCTCAGAGTCCTCCTAATGATGTTGGGCTTGAGCTGCCTTGCAGGGGCGTCCAGTTCAGCAATTCAGGGTCTGCCAGCTTCAGGGATTTGCGGCTTATTCGGGGATTAGGTCTCGAGGAGGACCACGGGCAAACGGCACGGCAAGAATTCGGAGTCCCGAACGAAGTCCCCAAGGCTTGAGGGCCGAGGAAGTCGGAAGAGCGGGGTTGAAAGGAAGCACCTGAATCCTTTGCCTCTGAAAGCCATAACCCATGATCTTCCAAAATCTCCTACAGCCCAAAACCCCTGAACCCCTAAACCCCTAAGCATCCTAGAGTTGTCAGTAACAGGCGGACAGATGCCTACCGGCCGGCTTGTCCAGGGCCCAGTTGTGCATCTTCTTGGCAGAATGCAGAGGCATGTGCAGAAAGGCTACACAGAGCGGTTTGTTGTGCCCACGCTTCAGGGAGAGCTCATGGGATTGATGCAGTTCCAATGTCCCCCAGAAGTGAAAGGTAACGTCAGAGGCCCTAGAATTGCATGACTGCGTGTGACCACTATGCAGCACTATGCTGTGTGCTGCTATTGATGTACCATGCTTTACCTTGCCGCAACTAGCCGTAGCTACAAGAACATGGCACCCAGGTTCTCCTGACATTGACAACATGCATGTGTTCCGAACAGGCGTCTCATGCTAATGAAAGCCCGTTGGTTCCGAGTCCCAGTCCACTGTGGCTTCCGTAGACTTGTCGAGGTTCCCCTGCGGTTCGCCGCAAGGCACGGGCACGGGACAAGGAAGAAAACCGAGGGAGGTATTCGGTAACTTGAGGAGCAATGCTCAGATGTTGCCTGTGGGAACGGGCGCCAGGCTTGATTGAGAGTTGAAGCGGTTCAGCATGTCTTTCGTGTTGATGCAACGTTGCACTTAGATGCACCGCTTCCACGTGGCAAGAAAGTCAGAGCAACTGCTCAGTGTTGTATTGCCCGGCATCGTCGCATCCCCACGAGACCCTTCAGCAGAAGATTCTGATTCAGAGGCCGCAAGCAGGAAGCATAGAGAGAGGTACTGCTTTTGGAAACTTCCGACTCCCTGTAGTTCATATTCCCTCAGCCGAAGAAGAAAAGAATCTTTGTCCCATCTTGTCTTTGCAGAGGTTGCAAAACCACGACTGTCTCGAGGCGCTGTGGCTGGCTCAGCTCACAAACACCACAAGCATTGGTTGATTAGCTTCTAGATTCTGGGAGCAGGTGCACCGTAGCCCTTTGCTAGCTGCATGGTTTTCATATGCCACAGGTCAACAGGCTAAATGTTGCAGTCTTTTGGACCGCTGGGCTTGGTCGCTTGTAATTCCTTGAAAGATCGGCACTCACAAGACGTGGGCTCCCATTGCTGGGCTTTCGGTATGCAACACGTGAGAAGCTTCCACAGCCAGGATCACTATGTATATAGAAAAACACAGAAAAGTACACATACATACTTACTTACACATGTATATATACACGCACATATGCATGTATATATATAGATAGATAGATAGATAGATAGATAGATAGATAGATAGATCCCGGACATCTCTGGTCCGAGCCCTCAAGAGGAGTTTGAAATGCTCATGCAACCACACATCGCCGAGGCATAGACATGTGGACCTCGGTGACATGTTTCATTGGGCAGCAGGCCTGTCAGACATCTGGAACCTCTGTTAGGATTGTGGCAAGAGGGTCTCAGGTGTGGTTTTGAGACATCAGACAGGGTTCGCTACCATGTTTAGTGCGTCTTGGCTACTGCTCGTCACCAGCCACTTACTTGTGATTGCAAGTCTTGTTGTCGTTGCTAAAGCTCGCATCATTACTTCGGTTCACGATTGCAGTCATCGCTGCCGTCAGAAGGACTGTGCTTTTGTATAGCAGAGCCAACGTGTGCGTTGACCTCTGCAGCGCCGTGTTACTCCGACGGCGATTACCCCAAATGTCACCACGACGGCGACGACCACGACCATGAAATTCCATTGTTGCTAGTACGGCTGCCCTACGGGCCTACTCACAACTCGACCGGCAATGAAAGAGACAACGACAACAACGGCATACTGGGCTGTCATCTCGCTGCTGGCGTGACTTCCATGCTGATGATGGCACCTACTGCCTAAAAAGCCTGCTAATTTGGCATGTTTTGTTGTTTGCGTTGATGTCGAAAAGGACACCTAAAGACTATATCTAGATTGTCTCTGTTTTCATTGCATGGGTATTCACTTATGAACTTGCTAGTAGTTTTTGCAAACGGTATGACGATTGTGAACAGCGTAATTCTTCTTGGATTTGTCAACCATTGTGATTATTCTGGTTCTTGGGTTTCATGGATCAATGCAGCAATGCAAGCAGGTAGCTGCAGGCAGCGCACTCTTCTGGTCAGTGTGACTGTAGTTGCCATGCCCATATAGGGTCCCAAGTACCTATATAGTAGAATGTAGGGCTTCTATATTGGAAATTATTATTATGATTTGGGGAAGTATGCCCCATAACAGTACCTAGGGCGCTTTGGGATGCAGATCAGGGTCACAGGACGTGTCATTGCAGGTACTGTTGGCAGCCCTTAGTCGGGGAAGCACTGAGGGGCTTTGGATTCTGCAGATTCCCATGTTCACTGCGTTTCCGGAACCGGCAAGCCTGTAGCCTGAAATCGTAATCACGCAGTCCTCACACCCTGTGACCTGGATTGTGTCAACCCGAACACCGTGGTGCAGAAGTGTCAGTGCGTTATCTTCATCACGAGCATAACGGTAGCATGGCTACTGCGAGCATCGGATGCTGGCAATGGTGTTGGGCAAGTCTCAAACTCCCCAGCTCTGAGCCCCCATCCACCAGGTGAGAATGCTGCAGATTTGATGCTCACGCAGCCAGGGGCCCGACTTGGTCCTGGGTTTCTGGGTGCGGTTTTTTCTTGGGAGCGGGGGCAGGTCGCTTCATGCGCTTAGCTAAACGTTCCGTAAAAGCAGCCTATACAAGCTTCAGAACCGTAATTACAAGTTTTAGGAGGGTTCCAAGTTTGGGAAAACATAGAGCTGAACGAGTTCGTCGGATGGGGGTTCATGAGCCCAAAAATCCGACATCTACCGGCATTTCTTTGCAACAGCAATACGCAAAAGGCTTCAATGCAACAAGGCCTCTGTCAAAGCTCTCTCGCCTCCAGAGGGCCCACGCGGGAGCCTCAAGGATTGGGTGATTTTATTGTTTAGGGTATAGGGTTTAGGGTTTAGGGTTTAGGGTTTTGGGTTTTGGGTTTTGGGTTTTAGGTTCAGTGTTTAGTTTTAGGGTTTAGAGGTCTGGGCACACACTTAAACCCTCAACACCCGACACCTGAAACCCGCAAAGCCCCAACCCCGCTATACCCAAGCTTTGCCCAGTTCCCCCAGGCTGGGTCGACTCTACGGCCCCGAGGCTGGAGCTCAGGGTTTAGGGTCCTGTCGAAGAGCTTTCAGGCTTCGTATCAGTTCCCGGCATGACAAGGATATCGTCGTCTTTTCTAAGCCCCAAACCTCCCAAGGCATATACCATTAATTGAGTTGTATTTTTCAAAGCTTGAGTCTGTTCACTTTCTACCCCTCGCCCCTAGCTCAACCAAAAGAAGTTCCCTTGCACCTTGCTTTGTGTCCTTAGGTCGTCGCACAACTGAAACTCCAGGTGCAACGCAAGATCAACGAGCTCTCGCCCTTCAGCTCCAACGCCTGGAGCCCGGCTTCTTGCTTTGGGCCGCTATACCATTAGTATATTGTGAAAGTCAGCGTGTATGATCTCAGAATATTAATATAGTATACTATTAGTCTCCGGGAGAGCTTCACTCTCGACAGAAGCCACTTTTCCTATCTAAACTCCAAAATCTCAGAAACGAAAGCTCCTGATCTCCTTAGAACACCAATCTCTCTAAGACCGATAGCCCGAACTTACAAATTCAATCGTGGCTAAGCCCGTACGTGCCACGGACCTTCCCCGTGCAGCGGAATGAGGCGAGTATCGCGATGAGACTCTTTGCATCGCCCATGGCGGATGGCTTGGAGGGGGTGCCGATCGGGGGATTCTGCGGTTTTAGGGTTTGGGGAAGACTTCGGCTAGGGCTTAGGGTTGTGTTCTTTGCCAGGAATTACGACCACAGACCACCAGAAACTGTTATAAATGAGTTGTGTAAGCTGCGAGCACATCGCCAAATCAACAGCAGGAGAAGCGCTTTCCGAAGATTACGGTAACACATCGCTGGAAGGCTCCGCAAATCATGTTCTTGCCGCCAAAGACTTGAGGAGTCTAGACTAGAAGCAGGGAGTTTTCGCAAGAGACCATGTTGAAGGTATTCCTCTCCACATCTCCCACCTACCACACTCAGCCAGTGAGTTGTTTGTAGTCAGAGTAGAAGTAGTAGCAGCAGTAGTAGCAGTAGAAGCATTAAGCAGCAGAAGCAGCAGCAGCAGCTGTAATGCTAGCAGCAGTAGTAGTCGTCGTCGTAGTCGTAGTCGCAGAGTGGTAGCGGTAGCGGGACAAGGAGTATGGGCGATGTAACAACGTAGGTGAGCTGTTGGTGCTGGTGGCCAGCAGGAGAAGCAGTTGGTTCTGCTGCATTGCTACAACTCGACGACAGCTCCATACCCCTTGTGCCCATGTTCCATTGCTCGCTTGACAAGATCTTCTGTTGAATTTGCACTACCTGGAGCTACCCAGGTGGGCGGCTCTTTGACACCCGAGGGTGCCCGGAACCTTTGCGCAGGACAGGGAGCTTCTAAGTTCATTGATTTGGGGTAGTTTCGGGAATCCGCTTACCCGGTAAGGGATGGTATACCGGCATTTTACATATGCTTGCTGGCATTTGTGCAAGCACCGCTGTCTGCAAGTTCGTTTTGTATGCATGCAAACATGTCGCAGACGTGTAAGTAAGGTAAGTAAATAAGTCAAATAAGTGAGCAAGAAATCAGACAAGTAGGCCCGCCCGCCGACCGGCACGTACGTGCGCACACATGCATGCAGGCAGGCAGGCAGGCAGGCAGGCAGGCAGGGAGGCAGGCATGCCGGCATGGCTGTATGTGTTGTATGCGTCCTGGTATTTATGCGAACATGCGGTCGCAATTGAATCTTCCCATGTGTGCACACACTGGTGACTTATATGCTGGGGTGGCTATGCAAAGTTATATAGACAACCACAAAGCTAGGGTTACGCATCTAGTGTTTGTGTTCAGGCCTCATTTGATGGTAGACTGTGATGGCTGTCTCATGTCTGTCTGTCTGCCTGGCTGACTGTCTGTATCCATGTGGGTATGTATGTACAAGTATGTATGTACGTATGTAGGCATGTAAGTATAGATATGTATGTATGTATGTATGTATGTATGTATGTATGTATGTATGTATGTATGTATAAGTATGTATTTACATATATCTGCGCATGTGCCTATCTGCTTATATACGTACATGTGTGCATATGTACATGCAGCACCTACGCCTGCTTTCCTGCATACATACCAGGTATGCTCCAGCTTCAAGCTATTTTCCAACTCGAGCCTTTTCCGAGCCGTCCGGATGCTGGACATTATTCCGACAATCGAACAAGTGCTACGGGTGCCCAGGAATCAACCCTAAACCGCAAAAGAATTGCTCCTTGCAGGAAAGTACGACGACGGCTTCATCCGCGTCGGGGAGCGGGCCGACCCCAACTCGCTTGGCCTCCGAGCCGGACGGTGTAGCATGCCCCGCCTTACAGTAGGAGTTAAGGGTTCTGACTGCGTGAAAAGGGGTGCGGATGGCACACAAGAAGCCACAATGTTCGGGCTGCACAACCCGTTGTAATTCTGAGAGTGGCCTTAGTAGTGTTCTTCTTGTCCTAGTGACAACAACGACAACAACAGCAACAACAACTACTACTACAACTAAAGCAACTGCTGCAACTTCAACACTGCAACTGGAACTACCGCAACTGCAACTGCTGCGCTGTTATTCCTTGCGCCACAGCCGCCCCCAAGCCTGCCTCGACGCACGCCATGTCTTACCTATAGTCTCCATTGTAGTTCCTTTTTGGGGATGCCTTATAAACTCCTTAATATATAATTGGTTAAACCAAAAAAAGGAGCTACAATGGAGACTACAGGTATGATTGTTGCCTTCACCTCATAGAGCAACGGCTCGCACACCCTTCGCAACACTCACCAGAGCACCCGCACCGCAGAATTCGAGGCCGGGTTTGGAAGGGCGCACAGCCCTGGTACAGATGGTCATCGAAGGCAGAGTTGGGAGTTGGAGCTCAAGGGAAACAGATGGGCTTTCATTGGGTTTCGAGTTTCGAGTTGGTGTTGTCGGATATATTCTGGGAGTCTATGACATATCCATGTTAGCGTTACTGTTAACAGAATCAGGGTTAAATTTGGACATTTGGGGGAGTCCCGGTTCCATGCTCAAACCCCTTCGACTTCCGAGAGACTTGACCTGAGGGCTTCTGCTTCGCGGGCTTCTGCTGCGCGGTCTTTGAGGAAAGCAATGTGCCAGTGTTTCAGGGCCAGCAGAGAGCAGTGCGTTCAGGAGGCCGCCGAAGAGAGTTTACTGCAAATGTTGTCTGGCATTGACTCCTTCGCGGGATTCGATGTCATGTGGTCCGAGCAGAAAGAAGTCTGGAAGCTTCGGAAGGGAGAGGCGGATATTTACAGCAAAGCGGTTAATGGGGGCATTGAAAGATCGAAAAACCGAATGCACCACTGAAGGGACGCCTGGACTGACTGCTTGCATCGAAGTCCCAAACCTGAAGTTTCTCAACCCCCAGCCCCCTAACTCTGAGAACACTAAACCCGCCAACTTGCCATCAACCAAAAGCTTCTGCACTACTCTATAGACTCTTTAACGCCCGACAGGCCGCGTGGACGTGACCAAGAGCCTGCTGGCCGGGCGCAGCGGCCTTAGGTTTGTGTTGGTCTATAGGGTTCAGGGGTTTATATAGGGTTTAGGGTTTAGGGTTTCTTAGGGGTTTAGGTTTGTTTTGAGGGGGAGGGGGGGGGGGGGTTTGGTGGTGTATTCGTCTAGGCTTCAAAACTTTAAGGTCCAGGCTTCACGGGAGTCTAGGTCTGTTGGGGTTTAGAGTTTCGGTTAGCGGGTCTAAGAGGGCGTAGAGGGTTTAGGGCTTAGAGAGCTCATAGTTCAGGGCCTATATGTTAAGGGGCTCAGGGATGTTTAGGACTTATGGCGTCAGGGGCTTACTGACACATCGGTTTATGTAGCGTCACAGAAGGGACATCCGCTTCACTCATCTTCACTCGCATGGCTGTGGTCACCAGCACTTCGTCCCTACGGTGCACCACCGAGCACAGATTCTGATCATGCCACCGCGAAGCACCAGAAGTCCAAATCCAAAAGCCCCGCACCCAGATGTGTGTTGCGAGGTGCAAGCCCACACCAACGTGACTCCTCTGGTGCAACGCCGTTGCATCATGCGGCCTGTCAGGCCTGAAAAATGGAGGGACCCAGACCTCTTGAAACTTACACCTCTTTCAGGCCAACTACCTTTCAGTACCTGGCATGGGAGGCTACACTTGCAGTTGGGGATTGACAACTAGAGAGTTTGTATTGACCGTTTCATCCCAGCTGCGCGGAGTTTTGCCTGTTCGCTCGCGTGGGAGAAGATGTATACAGTCAATGTTATTTCTAACGCGATAGGCATTCTAATACTCGTTGTCAGTTTAAAATTCTCGCCTCTGCTGCTGCTGGATCTTCGAAGCCGTGACTAAGATGGAGTCGACCGGGCCTCTAGTCCGGGCCTCTTGGTTTGCCCCCACCCACTGCGCAGTTGCAGCCGCAGACGGCGCGGGCGCTTATCCAAGCGGGCGCAGAGCCACTCGATCCATCCAAAGATTTCAGCTGTGTATCATGCTCGAAGTTGCTTACAAGTGCGCGCATGTCGAACTTTTACTTAATTATGTTTACTTCGTGGATACATGTGCGCATGTATGAATATATGTATAATATAGTATAATATACGTAATATAACATCACATAATGTGGTTGAATATAATAGATCACATATTTAAATAAATAATATATATATATATATACACATACATGTGCATCCATGGTGTTCGTATTTATAGATACACACAAATGTACATATGTCGTGTGCGTATGTGTGTGTATATATATATGTATACACATACATACACATGCATTACTTTCTTGCAGGCATGCATGCATGTGTGAACACATGTATGCACACAAGCATATTTAGATGTACGTATGTGCGTATTCAAGTATGTCTGTACGTAAGCATGCAGGAAAGTACGTATACATGTGTATGCATGTCTGTCCGTCTGTCTGACTGTATGCATGCCTGCATAGTATATGCATGCATCTGCATTTGCATGCATGCATGCAGACATGTACGTCTACGTGTATGTGTTTTTGTGTTCAGGTGTGCAGGATGGGTTGGATTGATGGATGGATGGATGGACTCATGGATGGATGGATGGATGGGTGGATGGATGGACGGACGGACGGACAGACGGATGGATTACGTAGGTAGATAGATGGGAACATAGATTCACAGACGGACAGACATGGGCCATCTCTCTATCTATCTATCTATCCATCTGTCTGTCTATCTATCCATCCGTCTACCTATCTATCTATTCATCTTTGCGCTTGCTTGAATATCTTACGTCTGCGAAGGCTACCGCTTGTAAGGCTTTGTGAAGTCTAAAGGGGGCGCTTTGCAGCCACTGGCATGGGGTTGGCTCGGAGCAGGGGACAAGCCTCAACTCTTCAACATGAGCGTTGTGTTGTCGTAAAAGCTGTACTAACAACTGATGATGATCCGTGTTCTAGTTATGGGGATGCCGAGTATGCGCATGTTAGGTGGGTGTCCCATGGAAAGTGACCTCCGACTTATTCAGCCTGCCGTTGAGGCTTCATGCGCTGGACCACGCAGGCATGGTGCTGACAATTCATCTATGATGCCCGAGGGGTCAGACCACTCTGTTCCTTCACTCTTGTTGTGCTGTCGTGCTCTCCTGCCATGCTGCCGGTGACAGTGTACCTCTTGTGATTTCTGTCGCTGTCGATGTCGCCGCTGTTGACAATGAGGTGCCACTTTTCGGGACATTCGGGCGACAGGTGCTGAATTTAATGCATCGTGGCACGTATCGTCTCTTTCGTATGTTCCTAATTTCTCTGACAATGAGCCACCGACCACCATCACAGCCCCAAATCCAGTTGTTGCGTCTCTTGTAACGCCTACACTACCCCCCCATGAATTCAGGCGGCTGTTTACTACTGCTACTGCTGCTACTCGTACTGATCCTACTACTACTACTACTACTACTACTACGACTACTACTACTACTACTACTACTACTACTACTACTACTACTGCTACTACTGCCCCTTCAAATCTTACTCCTCGTGCTACTCCTACTGCTCGTGCTCGTGCTACTGCTCCTACTAACCTACTACTCCTCCTACTACTCCTACCACT